GCCAGCTCTTCCCCTTCTCATTCTGTGCTCTTTGGAGAGAGGGACATTATTGTGTGCAGCTCACACCTAAGGAGCAGGGAGTTGTGCTTGCCCTCAGGAGGATGGAAGTCTGTGTCCATTATTTGGAATTCTTGAAGGAAGGAAAATCTGTTTCTTTGCTCCTATGTATTAAATTACTCAATCATTTATTTATGTGAGTGTGGATCACAGACCCTGGCGTCAGTTCTACTTGTTGATAGTGGGGTGTTTTTTCTTTTAAGCTCTCTCAGCTGACAAAACACACATGTTAGCCTATGTATAAACACATAACTGTGAATATTTTTATATATAACCATTTATATCAAGCTAAACATGAGTTCATACTGATGTCCCCAGCTGTAATCCACCACCAGATGATCATTCTAGTCTCTTCCCTTCGCCTGTTAAGTCTTACTCCAGTGTGGGAAACCTGACTGACCATCCACCATCCAATTACTCAACTGTTCAGTTCCGGTGTGCGTGCATGGCAGTCTCAGAATTGTTAACCTGTGTCACATGGAAAATGTGGCGCTGCTTTATCTGTGCTTACGTGCAGGTCCTTTTGCTGTAGTCTTACGGACATCGCTCATTTGTGAAGTTATGTAAGTCAGCACTCCTCCCACCCCACCCTCCTCAGTGAAGTTGTTTCACATATTTGTAATACAAGTTCTCCTTGACTTAAGAAGGGGTTATGACTCAATAAACCTGTTGCAAGTTGAAAATGCATTTAATACACCTAACCTACTCGACATCATACCTTAGTTTGCCTTAAATGTGTTAAGAACTCTAACATTAACTTATAGCTAAGGGGAAAAAATCATCTAACACAAAGCCTATTTTCTAATGAAGTGTTGAGAGGCTGGCACCGAGGCTTACTTGGTTAATCCTCCGCCTCTGACACTGGCATCCCATATGGGCTCTGGTTCTAGTCCCGGCTGCTCCTCTTCCAGTCCAGTTCTCTGCTGTGGCCTGGGAGGGCAGTGGAGGATGGCCCAGGTGCTTGGTCCCCTGCACCCCATGGGAGACCAGGAGGAAGCACCTGGTTCCTGGCTTTGGACCGGCGGCAGTTCTGGCCGTAGCAGCCATTTGGAGAGTGAACCAACGGAAGGAAGACCTTTCTTTCTGTGCCTCTCTCTCACTGTCTATAACTCTACCTGTCAAATAAAAAAAAAAAAATAATGAAGTGTTGAATATCTCATGGAGTCTATTGAATACTAGGCTGAAAGTCAAAGGCAGAACAGTTGTATGGTCTGCTTTCACACCATTGTAAAGTCAAAGTATTATTAGTCCCGAACTGTATAATTGCACACCCTGCATTTCTTTCCTGGGGTTCTCTGACAGCCAAAATGAGTTTTTTAAAATTTATACATATTGGGGCTCACTCTGTGCTAGGAGTTCTATGGATTTTGCCCAGCGTATGATATCATGCGGCTACCTCACAGTTTCTGTAGTTCTGCAGACTTGCAACCCCTTGTGTGCCATTACTCAGCCCACTTCCCTACCCTTTACCTGCTGATAACCTCTGGTCATTTTCTTATCCCCGTAGCTCTACCTTTCCCAGGATGTCATGGAATTGGAATCACCCAGTTACAGTCTTTTCAGGCTGGCTTCTTTCACTTAGCAATATGCGTTTATGGTTCTTCCATGTCTTTTTGTGCCTTGGCAGATCATTTCGCTTCATCACTGAATAATGTTCCATTGCATGTATGTACCACAGTTCATTCATCCATCCACCTGTTGAAGGGTGTCTTGTTTGCTTGCAGCTCTTGGCATGGTGAATAAAGCTGTTATAAACATCTATGCCATTACCTCTTTATTCACTGACTGTATAGCCTCACTCTATATGACATGGATATTCATGTCCTGGGTAACTGGAATCAGTGTTCCTATTTTGCCAATTCCTTCATTAGCCTTATATATGCGTGCCTATTAGATATTTGTGTGAGAATTGATTTTCACCTTTTGACAGTCCTATCTTGAGGTGCTATTTTGAAATGGATTTTAAATATTTATTAATTTGAGAGGCAGACTTACATACATACATACAGAGAGAGAGAGAGAGAGAGAGAGAGAGAGAAAATGAAGAAAGAGTGGCCGGCACCACAGCTCAATAGGCTAATCCTCTGCCTGCGGCGCCGGCACACCAGGTTCTAGTCCCAGTTGGGGCGCTAGATTCTGTCCCGGCTGCTCCTCTTCCTGTCTAGCTCTCTGCTGTGGCCCGGGAAGGCAGTGGAGGATGGCCCAAGTCCTTGGGCCCTGTACCCGCATGGGAGACCAGGAGGAAGCACCTGGCTCCTGGCTTCAGATCAGTGCGGTGCGCCGGCTGCAGTGGCCATTGTGGGGTGAATCAACAGAAAAGGAAGACCTTTCTCTCTCTCTCTCTCTCTCTCTCTCTCTCTCACTAGCCACTCTGCCTGTCAAAAAGAAAAAAAAAAAAGAGAGTGAGAGTGATAGCTCCCATCTCCAAATGCTGGCAGTGGCTGGAGTCAGATCCAGGAACTAGGAACACTGTCCTGGTCTCCCATGTGGATGGCAGAATTGCAACCAGAGTCGTCATCTGCTGCCTCCCAGGGTGTGCATTGCCAAGAAGCTAGAATCACGAGCAGAGGAGGTACTCAAACCTAGACACTCTGATATGGAATGTGGGCATCCTAACCCATGTCTTGTCTTCCAGGCCAGTTGCCCTCAACATATGCTGTTTTTATAAAAGGCTTCTTGAATTTCATATTACTTTTGTGGCTTGGCTTCAGGCTTGTTGCTAACCCCATTTCCATTAACATGGACCTTGATGTGGTCTTGGGCTAGGTAAGCACTTCTAAGGGTGACCCAAGCGGACATTTCTGATAAGTGGTACTGTTATTGGTATCCTCCTATGAGAGTGTTTGTTCAAAGTAGCACTTTGCTTTTAAAACTCTAGGGATGATTTCGTGTGCCCTGATAAGTTATCTGGTCACATTAAGACTCCCAACTGTATTATTATTTGTAAGGAGAGGGGCAGGGCAGTGGAATGGGAGGAGGGGCTGGGTTTGAAGGCTCTGCTACTCAGTGCCAAGTCCATTAACATCTGAGCCTCAGCTTTGTCATTCTGTAAAGTAGGAAATATAATAGCATAATACTGTGATTGATAAAATGTCTTAATCCATAGAGATGTTTTGTCTGGAATATATGAAATAACATATGTGAAATTCTTTCTTTAATTCTTTTTTTTTTTTTTTTTGACAGGCAGAGTGGACAGTGAGAGAGAGGCAGAGAGAAAGGTCTTCCTTTGCCATTGGTTCACCCTCCAATGGCCGCCATGGCCAGCTCACCGCGCTGATCCGATGGCAGGAGCCAGGTACTTATCCTGGTCTCCCATGGGGTGCAGGGCGAAATTCTTTTTTAAAGGTTTATTTATTTGAAAGGCAGAGTTAGAAAAGGAGAGACACAGAAAGAGAGAGAGAAAGAACTTCCCTCCGCTGATTCACTCCCCAAGTGTCTGCAATGACCTAGGCTGGGCTACGCCAAAGCCAGGAGCTTCTTCCAGGTCTCCCACGTGGGTGGCAGGGGTCCAGGAACTTGGGCCATGTTCTGCTTTCCCAGGAGCATTAGCAAGGAGCTGGATCAGAAGTGGAACATCTGGGCCGTCAAGTGGCACCCATATGGGATGCCAGTGCTGCAGACATTGGCTTAACCCATTGTGCCACAGCTCCAGCCTACAAATGCTTTCTTAGCAATATAAATATAATACTGTGGAAGAGTATACAATTAGTACAGGGGGTGGCAAGGTTTTTCTGTAAACAGATAATGAGTGCTTTCAGCTTTGCAGGCCATTACAGCCTCTGTCATAGCTGTTCACTTCTGTTGTCATGTAAAAGCAGATGTAGGTGGGACATACAACAATGAGCATGACTGTGCTTCAATCAAACTTGACTTATGAAAACATGTAGGGAGCCATATTTGGCCCATTGGTCTGGTATGAACATGGAGAGAGAGAAACCACTCCGTACCCTTTCTCTTAACCTCTTCCAAATGTAGTGCCAGGGAGGACATTTAATAATTCACTGAGGGTATGGATGCACAGATTGAATAGTCCCTAGGTGGGGTTGCTTGTCAACCCAGCTCTTCAGAAAACACAGCTGCTTTCTCACTCTCTGCCTGGTCCCATCTTCTCTGTGGATGGAGCCCAGACTGTTCCTACAGGAGCTGCCACTCTGATCTGTCCAGAAAACTGCTCACCACTTGCACAGGCCATATTATTAGGTGTCTGGGATGACTAAAAGCCTGTCATTTCCTTAGGTGAACTAGGGTCTTGGAAGAAAGAAAAACAGGGCAGGGAATGGAACTAAGAACATGACATGCGTCTTGAGGACCAGACACTGTGCTGGCTGCTTTTCCTGCACTAACTCATTAAAGTTTGCAAGAATGCCAGGAGACAGGTAGTAGCAAATCCATTTTTGTTTGACAAGTTCAAATTTTATAGTTAGCATTTCTAGCTTTCCATAAATTTCTTCTTAAGTCATGATGTCCAGTTTCCACAGAAAGCAGAAAATTTAATTTTGTCAACCCAAGGTAATCCAGTTACTTCTGAATTTAAATATAGTTGGTACAAGGGTGGGCATTTGGCCTGATTAAGATGCCCATGTTCTGGGGCCAGTGCTGTGGTGCAGTGAATAAAGCTGCCACCTGCTTTGCCAGTATTCCATATGAGTGCCGATTTGAGTCCCAGCTGTTTCACTTCCGATCCAGCTCTCTGCTATGGCCTGGGAAAGCAGTAGAAGATGGTCCAAGTCCTTGGGCCCCTGAACCCAAGTGGGAGACCTGGAAGAAGCTCCTGGCTCCTGGCTTCGGATTAGCATAGCTCTGGCCGTTGCGGCCAACTGGGGAGTGAACCAGGGTGGAAGACCTCTGTCTCTTTCTGCCTCTCTGTAACTTGCCTTTCAAATAAATCTTAAAAAAAAAAAAAAAAAAAGATGCCCATGTTTTACATAAAAGTGCCTGAATTCAATCCCTAGTTCCTATTCCTGACTCCACTTTCCTGCTGATGCAGACTCGGGGAATCAGCAGGTGATGACTCAAGTAGTTGGGTCCATGCCACACATGTAGAAGACCTGGATTGAGTTGCCCCTTCCTGGCTTCAGCCTGGCCTGGTCCCAGTCATTGCAGGCATTAGTGGATGAGAACTTTCTCTCTCTGCCTTTCAAATTTTTAAAAATGAAAAAATAATACAGTAGCGTACGGCCCTTGTTGTCACTCCTTATCCCTGAGGTGTGCTGGGTCTCTTGGGACAGTGTTGGCTTGTAGACCGACCTGGGGCGGGGGCAGGCATTTAGCCTGATCGCTGGCTCTGCTGTTGCTGCATTCCACTGGGAAGTTCCTGTTTTCTGGTCTTTGTGACCCTCCTGGTTCAGTATCCTGTGTGTGGGGATCCTGCACTCCTCATCCATCTTGTCCCAAGCCCTGGATCCTGTGTGGCTGTGGCTCGTGCTGTATCATGTTCCTGTTTCTCCAGGACTCACGGAGACTTCTCAGAGTTCTGAGACTGACCTGAGAGCCCCACCACACCAAGGCATTCCTCAGCCGTTGCCAGGCTTCTCATCCTTTCCCCGGGCTTCTGCAATACAGTCCTGTAAACTGGGAGGCTTATCAACAACACGACTTTATTTCTCACAGGTCTGAAGGCCAGGAAGTCTGAGATCAAGATGCCAATACATTCAGTCTCTGAGCGTCTACTTCCTGGTTCACGGATGGCGCCTTCTAGCTGTGTCCTCACACGGAAGAGAGAGAAGGCGAGAGAGGGCAAGAGCCCTCAAAGCTCTCTGTCCTGTAAGGGCCCTGATCCCGTTCGTGCAGGATGCACCTGCAAGACCTCCTTGTACCGTCACCTGGAGGTCTAAAATTTTACCATATGAGTTTTGGGGGACACAGACATTCAGAGCACAGCGCTAGGCAATGTCTCTGTGACTGTGCTGGCGTGAGACTTGAACTCCTGAGCTCCCACTTGGGAAGCCAGGCGGTGGCCGCTTTGACCCTGGAGACCCTGTCAGTGTATCTGGGGTTTCTCTCTCCCCTTCTATCCAAGGCTTTTGATCCACAGAGGGAGCCATTGTAGAGGGCATTCCCTATAGATCTGAACTGTGGGGTGTCCTGGGCTGACCCTTCTTTCGACAGTCATTGAGCGCTTTCTCTTCCTCTTCCTCACCTCCTTTTCCTTCTCCTTCCTTTTGAAGTAAAAAAAAAAAAAAAATGTGGTTTTCTTTTTTAAAGATTTATTTAGTATTTGATAGAGTTACACAGAAAGAAGAGAGGCAGAGAGAGGTCTTCCACCCTGGTTCACTCCCCAATTGGCCACAATGCCTGAAGCTGCACTAATCCAGAGCCGTGCTAATCCGGAGCCAGGAGCCTCTTCAGGGTCTCCCACGAGGGTGCAGGGGCCCAAGGACTTGGGCCATCTTCCATTGCTTTCCCAGGCCATAGCAGAGAGCTGGATCGGAAGTGGAGCAGCGGGAACTCGAACCAGTGCCTGTATGGGATGCCTGCACTGCAGACGGTGGGTAATTTACCTGTTACGCACAGTGCCAGTCCCAAAAAACATGGTTTTCATCATGCTACATTACCCCCCTACCCTCCGTTTTTTAGTTCTTGGTGTAAACTCTGCTGAGCCTTTCAGGATCCTTGTCTCTTAGGAACTCAACATGTTGTTTCTCAACCTGCTGCCCGCAGTAGCCACAGAGCTTTGTTCCTAGGTGTTGTCTCCACTCCAGGCTCTAGAAAGTTTGCTGTGGAACTTAAAGGTGAGCAGAGAGTCCTGTGATTTCACCTTGACTCCTGTCCCCAAGAGCAGTATGTAAGGAAAACTGCTTTCATTTGTTTGCTTGTATTTTTCTAGAAATGAACATGAAACGCTTAAGATCGGAATTAACACACAGATCAGTTTAGAATTCTGTTTGCCTCCCCGCCCCCCCATGTCCATCTAAATAATGAAGGGAAGGGCAAGGGCTCCAGAAAGCAGCAGGAGAAACCTTGGATGACATCTCAGAATAGCATGCGCAATGCCTCACCTAGGAGGAAGCAGCCTGGAGAGGTGCAGGAGCTGGCCCGAGACCACACTCCAGGGCCAGGATGACTCCAGCCTCCTGCGGCTCTGCCTGGCTGTAAAACAAACGCTAGGGAGTGGGCGTGGGGTTTAAAAGGAAGGCGTTATCAGTTTCAGATGCTGCAGAGAGATCCAGAAAGATTAGCACAAGGACTGAGGCTTTTCCCATCAGGGGTCCTCAGAAACCTTGCTGGGGGTTTGATGCATCCTGAAAACATTTTATTCTGCATTTCCAGTTTCTGTGCTTTGAATAAGTTCCTCACTAAAGTTCATGTTATGGAAACTTAATTCCCAAATTCATATGTTAATAATATTTGGAGGTGAGGTCTGTGGGAGGTGATTAGGATTTAATGAGGTCATGGTGTTAGCGCCTTTATGAGAAGGAGACCTGAGCTTGCAGCCTGCCCTGTCTCTCTGTGCGATGCCCCCGGTGGTGCTATGAAGCAGCAAGGAGGTCCTCACTGGGTGCTGGTGCCATGCTGTTGGACGCCCCAGTCTCTAGAACTGTGAGCCCAGTAAACTCTGGGACTTTATAAATTGCCCATTTTGTAGTATTTAGTTATAGCAACAGGAAATGGATAAAGCACCAGTAGTAAAAGATTCTAAAGACTACACCTCGGGGATGGGCATTTAGCCTAGTGGTTAAGGTATCCATATTCCACATCAGAGTATCTGCGTTCAGCACCCACCTCTGGCTCGTGACACCAGCTTCCTGCTAATGTAGATCCTGGGAGGCAGTAGTGATGGCTCAAGTCCCTGTGTGGGAGACCTGTGTTGCATTCCCAGCTCCTGGCTTTGGCTTGGCCCAGTTCTGGCCGTTGTGGGCATTTGGGGAGTGAATCAGCAGAAGGGAGCCCTCTGTCTAATAAATTTTTTTAAAAAAGACTGGAACATCAGTAAGGATATCAGTACATGAAATCCTTGAGTAGTGGAAGTTGTGAATTTGAAGTTAACAGCAAAAGAGGTGTTTTGAGTGGACAAAAGGGATCGTGTTGAGGGTATGAGGGTGCCCCAAAGTGCCTGTAGTAAGGAGCATCAGAGAGAGGAATCGCAGCTGAGATTGCACAGCGGTGGACTCGAGACAGGCTCACAACTGCTATCCGTGAAGGAATCCTGTTTTGTAAAGCTTCCTTACAAACTCTTCTCAGCAGTGTCAGTTTGCAAGCTCTCCCTCACTGTGCGAGTGGCGCTGAGCATGCGGTGTCTGTCACCCCATCCTGGCAGGCCTGGCCTTGCTGTCCTCTTCTTGCAGGCGGATTTTATTTATTCTGGTATGCTCCTAAAAGCCCTGTGATAGCCAAGTTTCTAAGCAAAAGGGCCTCAAAGAGATCTGTCCCCTGAAGAGCCTCCTGCCGCACCGGGGCTCCCCTGAGTCTTGAATTAGGTAAGTAAGGGGCTGAGAAGGGAAGGAGAAGGGCAGAGTGACTGCTGGGAGTTGTGCAGTGGCAGCCCGTGCTCCCCGATCTCGCAGACACTCTCGAACAGCAGCGCTCTGAGGATGGAGGGCCCGTACCGTGAATGGGAGGCTGGCTTCTCCCTTGTGCCAGGCCCTTGGCTGATTGTTTCATTTCTTTAAGAAACAAACATTAGGAGGAGCTTACATCAGATTACATATAGATACATGTAGGAGTCTTGTTTCTTAATGCAATTCCTACTTACTGATGCCATCTCTGTACAAGGTACTGAGATAGGTGGCAAGAAAAATGCAAAATGGGAAAATCTCAGCTCTTGCCTCCAGAGGGCCTGTTGCCTAGTGAGGTGCAGGGTAGACGAATATTCAGGTAAGTCTACATGGTGGAAGACAAGGGCTTTACTAGAGAACAGAGGGCATGAGGGAACTTGAAACATTATTTCTTGCTGGTATCTGTGGAGATGTAGCAGTTTAGACAGATTTTGTAAGCAGGTCTAGATTTCATTGAGTTGGGGTGTGGACAAAGTATTCCCCCTGAGGAGTGGGCATTTAGCTTAGCAGTTAAGAACGTGTCTTGTCAGAGTATGTGGATTTAATTCCTGGCTCCGGCTACTGACTCCAGCTTCCTGCTAATGCATATCCTAATGCAATGGTGCCTTCTTTTTCTACCCAGTGTGGGAGACCTGGATTGAGAACTCCACGCCCAGCTTCAGTCCTGGCCCTCAGGGGCATCTGGGGAATGAGCCAGCAGGTGGGAGTTCTATCTGTCTGTCTTTTTCTCCCCCGACCCCCACCCCAATTTATATAAGAGGCAGAGTATTTCTTGTGGAAAACCAACCAAGGATAACCAAGGATATAGAAATTCAATCTTCTTGCTCCTCTGTGGACCCCAGGGCACGTGATATCAGAAGCAGATCCAGTTTGTTCCCCTGCTTCCCTTCCCCACACTGCCTCTACCACACCACCTCCAGGATTGCCTGAGACTTCAGTTGTTGTATGCAGGTCTCTGACACTTCGACACAGGGAAATAAACAAAGGTCCCTTCCTGGGAAGATGGAGAGGAGTTGGTCTTGGGAAGAGGATAAGAAATAGGCCCCAGGAAGAGAGAGTCATGGAGCTTATCAGACTTTGCCCACTGCTGTGATTAGAACGTGGTTTGTCCCCTCCGAAAATCCAGTTGAAATTTGATGGCAGTGCTGGAAAGTGAGGTCTTTAAGAGGTGATTAGGGTCATTAAGAAGGATTGTGTGTTTCTCAAGGGACTGGGTTCATCTTGCTGACAGCAGGTGAGCTCTGGCACTCACAGGACGGGATACGCTATCGTGAGATCAGGTTGTTGTAGAGCGAGGCCACCTGATGTCTTGCTTCTTCTGCACATTCTTCCCCACCCTTCTACTGTGCTGCAGGGTCATGAAGCAGCACAAAGCCCTTCCAGATGCCAGCACTGGTGCTCCTAGGCTTCCAGCCCCCAGAACCATGAGCCAAAATAAATCTCTTCATAGACTACCCAGCCTCAGGTATTCCACTGTAGTTACAGAAAATGGACACGGGTAGAGGAAAGAAGTGACAGTGGCTGGTGGGACTAAGGACCTCTGCACACCTCAGTGTACCTCAAAGTTGGGTCAACCAGAGTTAGAAAAAGGAGAGGGTATGTGTTGTGGATGTTTGTCAGGAGAGTCGATTTGAGGGATACAAAGCAGAGCTGTGGCTGAGCCATTTGCTTGTTTCTTTGAGCTGGTCCTGGGGCAGTCCCTCAGTGAATTCACATGGGAAGGGCCATTTGGCGCATACCTTGACTTCTAAGGAGCTAAGTGCAGAACGTTTGAGTTCTCTGTACAGGTGGAAGTGGCCCTTTCCCTGGCAGCATGGCTGCAGGTGGAACCACAATGTCTTGGTCCATGCGACAAGAGGGGAGTGAGACCAGGGCAGGATCACAGCGCAGTCCTGGCACTCAGCAGTCACGTGGGCCACATGCTGGCCTTGAAGCACCTGACCTGTATTTTCTAACTTAGCTGCCACAGAGAAGCAGTCACTGAGGACCGCGGAGAGCACTTTCTCCAGGGCACGATGGGAGCCAGATCTGTAAGAAGTGAAGGTGCGAGAAGGTGAGGGGAGTTGGTGACTGCAGGTCTGGGCCAAACTTCTAAGATGTGTGCTGGTGACAGGAAGAGGGGCGAAAGAGATCAGTTGAAGGGGAAGAAGTAAGTTATTTTGAACATTTTCCCCTTTCTAAAGAATTTGTTTCAGAGTGAGAGAAACTGAGTGGGGGGGAGAGGAGTGAGTCACAGGGAGGAGACTGAAGATGCTTCTTGAGTGGCCTGTTCTCAGAGGAGGCACCGTGCTGCTGCCTTGCAGATGGCAGTGCCTTGTGGGGATGGCGGTAGGCGGGGCTTGGGGAGAGCAGTGAGAGTGTAGAGTCTTGGCTGGTGTCTGCTGCCAGCATTGAAGGGGCAAGAGGAGGTTGCTACTCCCAGACCCAGAGGGAGAGAAAATGAGAGCAAGCTGGACCACTTGACAGGAGATGCAGCCTGTGGCACATGGGTATAGCCTATCCCTGGTGACCTTCAGGGAGGAGAACAGGGAAATAAATACCCCAACTTTCTGTCTGTCTCTCTGTTTGATTCTTACTGTGCCTTTCATTGTCTAGACCCAGCCGGAAGCCAGAAACCCAGAAAGTCCATAAAGATCCACCTCCCGAAGCAAAGAGAATGGTAGAAAAGGGTGGAATAGGGGTCTGGAGGGACAAAATAAATAAATAAATAAATAACAATAAAAATAACCATGTAAAGAGCTCTTGGGTGAGGGCCCAAGGACTTGTGTTAGCTGTGGCCCCTGGAGTGTTGTATGATGAACAACCCTAAGTCTCAATGGAGCAGTGCAGGTTGACTACTCCTAGTCTGAAACATTTAGGGTCAGAATTGTTTTGGAATTTTGGACTTTTTCTTTTCAGATTTTGGAATATTTGCACACACATGAAGAGATACCTGGGGGATGGGATCCAAGTATTTTTAGAGCACCTGTGTTTTGACTGTGACCCATCACGTGAAGTCAGCAGTGAAAGTTTCCGTTTGTGACATCATGTCAGTGCTCAAAGAGTTGTTCATTTTGGAACATTTCAGATTTTTTTTTTTTTTTTTTTTTTTTTGGACAGGCAGAGTTAGACAGAGAGAAAGGTCTTCCTTCTGTTGGTTCACCCCCCAAATGGCCGCTGCGGCCATCATGTTGCACTGATCCGAAGCCAGGAGCCAGGCGCTTCCTCCTGGTCTGCCATGCAGGTGCAGGGCCCAAGCACTTGGGCCATCCTCCACTGCTCTCCCAGGCCACAGCAGAGAGCTGGCCTGGAAGAGGAACAACCGGGACAGAACCAGCGCCCCAACTGGGACTAGAACCTGGGGTGCTGGCGCCGCAGGCGGAGGATTAGCCTAGTGAGCCGTGGCGCTGGCCCAGATTTTGGATTTTTAAGATTAGGGTGCGGCCTGTTTATAGCATTAAGCGTGTATTCTCTCAGGCCTATGGGTTGGCAACTGCCAGGTGACATGGTGGAATGGGTGGGAACCAGGAGGTGTCAAGGATTACAGCCAGTAACCCTGGGAGGGCGAGGTAGAAAGTAAGTTGCAGGTATAAATGGCTTTGAGTACAACTACTATTTATGCTCTTCTGCCATCCACATCCATTCTCTTACTGTTCTATAGAAATACAGTGTGTCGTTGCTCTATGGCTGCATTTCCCATCTAAAGACTCTATTTTTGAGCTTGACTAGGTGATAGCTGGTGGACATGGGGCATATAATTTCTGTTCTTAAAGACAGAACTCTCATTTCCCACTCTCCCTTAAGCCTGCTGCCTGGGATTGTAGGTGTGCTGCTGCTGAGGCCTCCTGGTGCACACCAATAAGGATGTCACAGATGGTGAAGCAACAACACAGTTGGAGTATGGCTCCCTGGCTGCTTATGTACATATGAGGGTACTTCCAAAAGTTTATAGAAAATGCAACTTTTAAATATGTTTAGCTTTGTGCAAAAAATTAGAAATCCATGCATATAAGGAGTCTCCAAAAAGTTTATGGAAAATGCACATTATGAAAAAACTATGCATGGGGTTGGCGTTGTGGTGCAATGGGTTAAACTGCCATTTACAATGCCAGCACCCCATTTGGAGTGCCAGTTTGAATCCTGCTTCTCTGCTTCGGATCCAGCTCCCTGCTAATGTGCCTGGCAAGGCAGCTGATAATGGTCCAAGTACTTGGGCCCCTGCCACCCTTGTTGGAGACCCAGGTGGAGTTCCTGGCTACTGGCTTTTGCTTGGCCCATTGTGGAATGAATCAGTGGATAGAAGATTGTCTCTTTCTCTCTCTCTCTCTCTTGCTCACTCTGCCTTTCAAATAATAAAATATTTGTATAGATTTTAATTTTTTCCTGACCTAAATGAACGTATCTTTTTATTTTATTTTATAATTTTATTTTTGACAGGCAGAGTGGACAGTGAGAGAGACAGAGAGAAAGGTCTTCCTTTGCTGTTGGTTCACCCTCCAATGGCCGCCGTGGCTGGCATGCTGCAGCCGGCGCACCGCACTGATCCGATGGCAGGAGCCAGGTACTTATCCTGGTCTCCCATGCGGGTGCAGGGCCCAAGCACTTGGGCCATCCTCCACTGCACTCCCTGACCACAGCAGAGAGCTGGCCTGGAAGAGGGGCAACCGGGACAGAATCCGGCGCCCCGACCGGCACTAGAGCCCAGTGTGCCGGTGCCGCAAAGTGGAGGATTACCCTGGTGAGCCGTGGCGCCGGCGTATGAATGTATCTTTTATTTTATTTATATATAAACTTTTAAAAATTTATTTATTTGAAAGAGTTACACAGAGAGAGGAGAGGTGGGGGGGGGAGAGGGAGGGATGGATGGAGGGAGGGAGAGGTCTTCCATCTGCTGGTTCACTCCCCAATTGGCTGCAATGGCCGGAGCTGTGCCAATCTGAAGCCAGGAGCTTCTTCCGGGTCTCCCACATGGGTTCAGGGGTCCAAGGACTTGGGCCATCTTCTACTGCTTTCCCAGGCCAGAGCAGAGAGCTGGATCAGAAGTGGAGCTGCCAGGATTCAAACCAGCGCTCATATGGGATGCCAGCACTGCAGGCAGCAGCTTTACCTGCTATGCCACACTGCCAGCTCCCAAAAACTTTTTGAAGGAGCTTCATAAAAGTTAGGTGGAAGAGAAAGAGGCCTTCATCTTATTTAGGCTGCTATTATTTTGGGTCTTTGTTTTGTGAGCAAATTGATAGGAGCCTCTACTCTGATACCTCGAGGACGGGATAACACAGAGGTATAGATTCATTGTTTTCAGCATTTACTAGTCCAAGACAGCAGAGGCACCGGAACTTTTAATTTTTTCTCCTGTCACCCCTGGTCAGTATTTGGAAAGGAAATATTCTTGGAGAGGTAATTATCAAAATAAGGTCTCCCTAATGGAAGCAGGACAAGCAGTGCCAGCACCTGTTCTTTCTGTGCACAGGGGATCCAGGTGAAAAGGAGAGAGATGAGGGGACAGAGCCATTTGCCACTTGCTGGAATATGGCTCACAACTAGAAAGAAGAAAGCAGGATTCTAACCTGGACCCATTGTGTTCCAAAGCCTGTGCTCCATTCCTTCGAGGTCAATGAGATCAGGAGATTCTAGGAGGGGCCTAGCTATTCTGGAACCTAAGGTGGTATCTAAAGTTGATGTCTGTGGATGCCCAGGGCATAAGAAGCCGAATTGACTCTT